ATTGCATTTTATGGAGCTTGTCAAGCACAAGACTGGTGATGGTGTCCCTTTTTGGAGGGGGGGAGGTTCCATACGAATGCGCTTACTCCAGCTGGTGGTACAATATCCGGAGGCGGTATCGCCTCTCTGATCCTCTAGTTTGCTTTGAAATTGGTTCTCACTGATACATACCAAAAACCAATAAATTATCATTTTGAACACTTTTTAGCAGGAAGTAAGAATATTATATGTAATGAGTATTTTAAAATTGAGCAAACACGCTCTTATAGGCTCTTATGTAATTTAACTATATACATAACTTTTTTCATCCCTGTCCTCACTAGAAAACCGGGTGGTTACCTGAGACTCTGGAAACATCTTTCTTTTAAAAAATAAAGGATGATGTTCACCAAAAATTGGTCAACCCTTCTAACTGTGTCTTAATGCAGTGGTATTATATATAATTGTATTGTATTTTCTTAACATAGGAAGGAACTGTCTACTGACCAAGTGAACAAACCTTTGAATAAGGATGCTCTGTGGAAATGGGTGGATCATATCCCACAGAATACAAGGGAAAATATTGGCAAGATTGCACCAATGCTTTCTGTACTGGGCTATGACATTACAAGTAAGAGGCCAACCTATGAGAAAGACAAGTAATGATCGAAGGAATCAACTGTTTAAGACCACCTGACTTAACAGTATTGTATGAAATTAGAATGAAAGACCTTACATCAATCAAAATTGATTAGAAATTCCTAAAGGTAATAAAACATTGATTGTAGACTACCTAACAACATGTTAAGAAACCATTTATTGAAGATTAGAGAATAACACATTTGCTTTATTGTGAATTCTGTAGATTTGTTGTAGTATGCTGAAGTTTCACTTCTTCCATCTAGTCAGAATATTACTGAATGAAGACACTTACCTATTTTGTTAATGAGAAGGGCAGTCCTTTTGCTGGGCATATCACAATTTCCAGCTTTCATGTCACTCAGAGGGAAAGATGTAACTTTGATCTTTTTATTCCTGTATGACAGTTTATTAAAAATTGATAGCTGCATGAATAGGTAATACAGATAGCATTTTAATGTTGTTTCCAACACCATGTCAAATTCCTTGAATATGGCACTCAAGTCATCCATCAGGAAAAAAAAAAGGTATTTTTTATATTCAGTTAACACAGTCAACTTATTGCCTGATCTATCATCTATTGTAAACTTTGAAAATGTTTTGTATACATATAGGATTAATGGATATATAGATAAATATTGGTTTATTTTTAATGACCTTCTTTAATTTTCTTGGTTAATCTGACCTTTGTACATTTTATGTTAGTTTTTTATGCTTTAAATAGTTTTCCAGTGCAGTGGTAAATTGGTATTTTACAAAAACAAAAATTCGTATGATTAAATATACTAGTTGAAGTGTCACTGCTTAGATAATTTCAGGATCAGATCTGGTAACAGAATGCTAACTTTATCTTAGTGTCTACGCCAGAGACAGGTGTCTACACGTTTTCTCTGCAGTAACAAATAATGTCATATTATGGGCAGGTTTGGTCATGCTTTGCTATATATCTCTCTCTGCATGTATCAGCAGATTCATTATACAGTGACAGTGGTATGTGCTATTTTAACTTACTATATAGACTAGTTATTTCTTAGATAAAATCTTTTCCATTTTGCAAGACAATCTTCATTTACAATATATAAGTAAAAAATATGTTAATATAACAACAAAACTAAAAGGACAATAATCTCACAATCAGGCAAACAGTGCAATAGATATCATGTTCACCTCTGTCATATGCTCTAAAGAAAATATTCCACAAATCTGCTCAACAGGTACATTTCTTTGAAATTGGTCTCTTGAGGTACAGTTTCCTGTGTTGGAAATTGGATTGCCATCCACTGATGGAGATTGAATGAGCAGTCACAGATGAAGCCTCATCAGCTGCATTTCCATTTGACATGTGCATATTTCCGTAAAACTAGAAGACACATGCTACATGCAATATACATAAGAGATTCGGCTCCTGTGATAGCTAACTACAACAGATATCCTCTCTTTTGCAATGTATCAGTTCAAATGAAAAAAGATGTATTAATGAAAGGTCATTGTGGAGCATATTTTATGTAGTCTTTTATGTAGTTTATTTATATGTCATTCCATGTAACCAAACCCCACCTCAATATAAACAGACAGGAATATTTATGACTCAACATGAAACATATTTGAATATATATTATATATATATTGAATAACTGTATTACATATAGTCTTTACTGTATTTTAATAAAGTTAATCTTAAAATAAGTTTAATATTTTTGTATTGTTTAAAACCTTTTATCTGTTTAACATGTATCAGTGGTCACAGGTCAGTAGGTACAGATGAATGATGAAATAGCACAAAGTATTTTGATATATGGAATAGCATTAACTTTTTTTGATCACAGCAAATTTGTACAAAGTAAATTTCAAATAACACTGCATGTACAGGTTCATACTGGCATTGAAAGCTAAACATCACTACGTAATTTCTCTCTTCTCTGACACGACATGTTATCCAATGTTTTCTGACAGATGTGACAAGATAAAGCCATTATGGTTGATCCTATTGATTTTTCCAGCGGAGGTTTACTGTATAGTGTAGTAGCATTCATGAGAACCATTCTTCTCCTAATGTCATCCGCTCTATGAAATGAAACATTGACGTCAGTTTTGAAATGTGGTCGTCATTAGTTTAATCAAATGGAACAATAACTGTGCTTGTTTCACCTTTCCTACTGATACGAAGAGAATAGAATTTTATTTTGTACTAATGCACATTAAGTAGAGCACCAGGCCTGGGTGAGGCCTATGAAACTGTTTACAAAATAAATGGATAAATAAACAGCTACAGAGTATACAAACGGTCTTTCCTCGTGTGGTACGTTTTTATTTAAATCTTGCCAGACCCCCCCCCCCCTTTTTATTTTTCATTTGAAAATTTTAGACAAGAAATTCGTTGTCAAGTAAATCACAGAAACTATCAGACTGATGAAAGCAGTTAGATGAAAGAGACCGTTTTCGCAGAAAGCAAAGAGCACTTCAGCTTCGATCCCTCCGAAAATTCTTTTCTCCAGTGGGACACCTACAAATCTCTCAGTTTGATCATGCAATGGCAGTAGGCCTATCCCAATTCTTGGCCAGGAATGATTTCATTTGACAAGGACATGTATCTTTAAATGTTCGTTTCGTGCAGTTCGTTTTCTGAAGTTTGTTTATTTCTTTTTAAGTTTGTATTTTAAAGGAATACTCAACCTTTCTTATTAGTCATATGTGAGACATATGACTTCTAGAAATGTTGCATGCCACAGTAATATCAAAAGTTCATTGTTGAGTGTATAACTAAGTTCTGTATTTTAACCCTTACAGTTAAAAAATTGGCAGTTCGCTTGACCATTCATTTTCGTTATTTAGCGAAGATTTCGTTATTTACTGGAGGTTATGAGCTTTCAACGGAGATTGCAGTAGATGTGCTTCGGCGGCTGTGACCAACGTGTTTGGCGCGGTACATCTCTCCCATAAAAAACTGCTGATGTTAGGACACTCCTGTTGCATCGTCGAACTACAGTTACATCGCTTTGAATTTGAATGGTAAATTCTCTATTATTTTCATTTTTGTTCAATGTTATTATTATTATTATTGTTGTTGTTAATGACCATAAACTCTATCCACTATGTGCAGTAGATGTGCTTGGACGGTTGTAACCATCGTGTTTGGCATCTCTCCCATAAAAAAACGTGCTGGTGTTAGGACACTCCTGTAGCATCTTTGAACTACAGTTAATTTTTATTCCATATTATTATAAATATTTCCGTTAATAAACTCTCTGTTCACTTTTCAAAATGTCACAAATCAAAATGTCCGTCAAACTTTGTTTTATTTTACATTTCATTTTTACACAATACCCATTATCACTTAAGGTACGTCTTTGAGACGACAATATCAATATCTAATAATATTTCGAGTAAAAATCAAACTGAACTGAAATGTTTTCTTTTCATATGATCTACAAATGAGTAGTTCAGCCCAGCTGCAATAGAACAAGTAAACGATTTTTGACTCTTGGATGTAGAGTAGGTGTCGGCTTCGACATGATCAACTATTAAATCATCGAATTTAGTGATAATTAGCTTTTGACTCGTTCAGCCGTGATACAATTGAAAAAGGACAGTAGGCCCTATTATAGGGGTGATCACCTCAAGTTTCCTAGTTAATTGAAAACTCACCAGCATACGCATGCTGTCTCTATAGATGAACTGTTACAGATAACGTATGCTCAGAAGAGTTAAATTCCCGTCAGTGCTCCAAAATTTAGAGTGAGAGATAATCGTCTAGGTAATTTTTTGGTTCATTATGTCAATAAGTCACCTTTGGATTTGATTTCATTTACCAGATGAATTCTGAATTTTGTATTATGCAGCCATGCAATACACCAGGGTGAAGTACAATTTAAACGAATAAAGTTTTGCGTCTTAAATTTTAAAAACGCAACCTCCAATTATCAACCCAAGGGTTTTGCGAATTTTTTTTAGTCAAATCATTATTCTAAACCATGAAAATGACTGTAATAGTACTTAAAATGTCTCATGTATAACATACCGCACCAGCATTACCAGAGTTTACTCTTAAGGTTACTATTTGAATTAATCATTTTCCTCTACAGCTCTTTCATTAATATTTGCAAGCTGCTTTTCTGGATGTGCCTATAATCCCATGCGCAAATTCTTCACAAATACCAAGAGCGCCTCGTCACCGTTGAGAATGCTATTTTTTTTCTGGGGAACGTTTCAATATAAGTGGCTAGTTTCCAAACATTTTATGACCCATGGTGAGAGAAATGTTCGTTTTATTTTATGGGAGACATTTTTCGAGAAATGTCAATGGAAGAGCTGTTTGTGTGTGTCCTCATTTGGACTATCAGGTGAAGAATTGCCAACCACATTGACGAGCTTATTCGGAATCAGTAAACTGCTTTGTCAAGTAGCCAATATTTGTTCATTTCAAAGAGGTCTTTCCATTTTTGTGTTCAAAATTATGATAAAAACAGAAACACTTATCATCCATTAGTCAAAGAGTTGTCTTGGTCTTGCCCTACACACTTCAAACAGTTTCCAATTCCCAATAATAGGCTATAACATCCATTATGAGGACATAAAAAAAACAACGCACTTGACTATATGATAGGCTACGATTAACTTACTATAAGGAAAGCAATGATCTTTTTTTCAAAAACACAAGAATTAAAGTAATAACAGTTTAGAAAGTACATGCACCACCATTGCTCATCACTTATCCCTTAAAAACCCATAGGCCAGTCAAAACATTTTAAAGGTATATCATATAATGAAAAAAAGAATGTAGCAGGAACTTGGAGAAGCGCCCCGGGAAAGTCTTAAAGAGCAGACTCGTGACCCGCTAAAAAATCTGAGGAATACCTGGCGGTGCTCCATTACAGAGGCAGATGATACATTGTCCTGGAGTATTGCGAGGGTCTTAAAGGAGTTATGTCACTCGCACCTTTTTCAATACAGATACTTGGGTAGCATTGTTAAAGTTTTGTCTGCCTGTGATTGGCAACAGCGTAAGGTCTACATCAATTTTATATTAAATGATGTACATACATCTATCTCATATAACGTTATTTTGTGAAAACTGCACGCATGAAACCATGGGTCAATAGCATACCGAACATAAGGCAACAAAGTCAAAAGGTGCATTTTTGTCTTAGTTTCTTTGAACTGAGAACTTCACACATATACAGGAGTCCTAAATTTTACCTGTCAGTAACATTAGTGTACAGTTTACAAACAACAAAATAACAACATTATAAAGAACATTAATTAAAAAGAAAGAGACGAACTCAGACATCATTTTTCAAGATGATCTCCCGGCCAAGACCCCCTATCAACAACCTCAAGAAGGCTGGTGGGCTATAAATATATCTCCGGCGATTTCTCTTGCACTCATCACTTCGGTTTCCTATCCGTTTGCCTCCATTACCAAGGCGTAAAATCATTCCCGTATTTGCCTAGTTAATTGGACTTATTTATTTTTCCGAAGCTTCTGCCTGAAGTGTTTGTTGTAAAGTATAAGACAGTGTATACGATACCCAGGATTACTTTACCATATCTTCGGAGCGGTAAGAGCGAAACAGTTGCTCAGGCAACCACATGTTAGAAGTGCACAGTTTTGTACAGCAATGCGGGATCAGTAGCTGAAGGGATATAAGAGTGCTTAAGACACAGTCAGCGGTCTCGTCGAAAGGAAATTCCGTGCAGCGAATAGCGATTATCAACCAATGAACAAGAGAGAAAGTTGAATAAACGCTCCAAGTTTACCTTTCTAGCAGGTGAAACGCGTGAAAAGCGATAACATAATTTTGGGAACATACAGAAAATAAGAACGCGATCGAAAAAACAACGTACCAGGTTGTGTTTCTTAGACATTAACAACATGAGCTAACGTATTCGTGCGCAGAAGTTTCTTTCGTGGGATAAAAAAAGGTAAGAAAAATGACAATGAGAAATGAGCATGCTTTAATATGAACTCCAAAATGTTTCCATGTACACTTCCATATGAATGTTACCATAATATAACCTCTTTATACGGTGTAGCGGTTTTACAGGTGTCTAAGGTCATTTGCTGCTGTCTAGCAATAAGGTGAAAATGTAGCAGGTCTTCCCCATGCGAGGTTTATTTAGATGTACGTCAACACATATTCTCCAAAATAAATATTGCCGATGTACCTCACCAATGATCGTGGCAATTATATACATATACAAACATGCTCTCTGAAAAACTGCATGCAAACTGATGGTTATGCTTATTGCAAGAGATACATCACTCCATTCAACAGATTTCGGCAAGCATAAATCGTCACGATGGCCTGCAAAGTCAAGATGCACAGCCTCCTAATTTGTAGGCAGCAGACTTGAAGAAATCTAAACGTGTAAACGGTTAAAATACACGTATATTATAAATTTTCCATATCTACCTCTTCAAAATCGCTAATATTAAGATTCATAACCGTCTTGTAAACCCAACGTATATGTACCCGGTAACTATTTCATGTGTATGTATACAATTGCAAGTATCTATCGCAAATACAAGAAAAAGACCAGTTCATTGGTATGGGATATACCTGATATACTTGGCATCATTTTCAAAAATCAACATACATGTATTTTTTAATCAGTCACAATAAATTCGATGGGGATTGCCCCGAAAACGAACTTTTTGCTGAACTATCTTGTTAAAAATAAACAAGGTCTACGTATTCATTGTGTTACAATTTATACATCATCTTAATATCTTAATCTTGACTATCTTCCTTGGACTATAGTCTTATAGTGTTACATTGCACATTCTTTCACAACAACATACTGGGTATAACGTTATTTCATATAGTCAATAAACATTTCCGGTATCATTTTTTGTCCTCTTGTTCATGCTCAACGCCAATCTCATCTATGATATTAGACGCCGAGTGTTTTGGCAACACCCGTCTGTTGGACTCTGTTTTGGCTGTTCTGCAACCACTGGATATCCGTTTGGTTGCAGTTCAAGAGTCAAGCAGTGGCACTGTGGCACTTTACTAAATTCATTGAAAACTGTAACAGAAACTTCGCTGCCTGCTCTTTTCAAGTATAACGCTGATCTAAGCACTTGACTCATATGTCTTTGGGTTTTATTCAGGCTCATCCCCGCAGTTAATATAAATGGTGACTGACACATTCCATCAATTTTTGCTATTAATATTGACATCATCCGATCCTTAACTAAGAGGCAAAGTGACTTCATGGGTAACACTGCTCAATGTTTTCATACTAGGCTTGATGACGTAATAAGCGTGAAATATTAATTAAACATGGAATCTCTCTATATTTGTTGTCCTGTTCAGAAGTCACAGTTAATCATAGTGCTGAGGCTATTATATATCATATAGCTCTGAATTTACCGAAATATCACAACATCGTTGTTCATTACAGACCATTTCAGAAAACGCACCTTCAACGCATTTTCTTAAACGCGTTTGAAATGAGTCACAGGAGCCAAGTGTTGACAGGTATAAATATTGACTTAAGTAGGCTTGTCGTTATCTATTTTGAAACAGAAAGCGAAGACGTTAAAAAGACTTTTAACTTCAGATGAAGACCGAGCACTCGATATAAGTAGGATCGCCTAATTTCTGGCATATTGCTCTTAGACATAGAAATAAGACAACATGGTGAAAAGTGAAAAAATATGAGGATTGACAGGAACAGTTGGATAACACTCAGCGCCAAGCAGTCTGCAAGAACCGATTGGCATTTAGTGCTAATATTATCTTCGAATACTAGTTGTCAAAATGTCAATCTAACAAAATACCCTTATCGATCTTGTTGCATCATCAGAGCGCCATTCGCTTTTAATTTCTTTCAAGTGATCGGGTTTAGAAGATCCACTGACAGTAATTTATTGTTTGTTAGCTCATCTAACAAGTACTCTTTTCAGAACGCTCCGACTTTTTTACATTAACAGTGTAAGATACACATTCTTTCAGTCTTCTAGATTACAACATTTAGTTCAACTCTATAACCTTATTATTTTTTACAGATCTAGACGATTTTGAAGGTGACTGTTAGATGAAATATTTCAACATCATGCCTCTCGACAAGCAGGCTTGGGCTATTCCCCGCAGTCTTATGTGCACGGGAATATGGTCGGGGTTTATTTTAATATTCATCGGTATGATCATGGTCGTAGCAGGGCAACACAACGAGATACAGCCAGAGTAAGTCTGCATGATTCTTATCTTTCATGCTATTCTCAATATATTTTTAGGTTCAGCTTTTTCCTCCATTTTTTCGGAAAACATTACTTTTGATACATAACATATGGAAAAATAATTATGATTGTGTTTTCGGTAGGTATGAACATGGTGCTATTGCAGGCATTGTTGTGAAATACGGAATTATTGATGCATTAAAACAGACAGGCGTAGATCTGTTGATTCAGTTATGTTTTACTTTATTCGAAATACAGAAGCTGGAAGCTAAAAACGTTCAAATAAAATTGATGAAAGTGATGTTTATCAATAAAATGACAAGAGTATATGTCTGTTTTTGTCGACTAAAGTACGTTGACTTGAAATGTCCTAGATTAACCTTGAAGTAAGCCATGAACGTGATGTTTTACTAGTTATCACTGGGCTTGAAACATATCAAAAGCGTTAACTCTATTTAACAATGCATAAACTATAGTAAAATGAAAGCACTTATTTGAAGAGCTGACAAAACTGGCACTGATTCCAATTATTCAACGGCTAGCACAGGCACATCTGGTAAAAAACCAACAGATTCTTCACTGGTCCTAGTTTAAAAGGTCGTTATTATGGACACACACGACCTGGTTGAGTAGACCGCCCCTAAATTAATCAACCAAACCCTGGGCCTATATGAGTTATGTATCTCATATCCGTTGGTCGGCGCAAAGAGGCCAATCCGGTAACTTCTTCTCTAGAACATAGAATAATCTTGCATATTTGTAGATGCATATTTCACACTGTGGAGGAATTAAGGAGTGTATCTCACTAAGGGGTTGGGAAATACATACTATTGGGATACCAATCCGACCAATGTGTTGAATAGTGCCCGTCTTCATGTAACTCAAGTTGGGTTGTGGATTGGAACCTAAACAAACACACCAGGTAGACTACTCAGCGTTAGGCCTAATTAGTTAATCAAACAACGTGCGTGCTGTCCGGTCGATTAACTAGCTAATTGGCCCATATTACCGCACCGTTTGGAATCGTTTGTCCAACGGAAGTTGGAGATTGCAAGAGTTACTAGTACGTAGGCTGATCGACGGTGCTCTTGCACTTCAAGCAATCAACAAAGATATTTTGCCATGAAACGATACAAAAATAAACGCGCATTTATATTCCAATGACGCATTCAAAGTAGTCCAGAATAGCTTGACTGCACTGGTGAACTGTCTAAAACAGTGAGGCAAAACGAACCTGAAAGAGGAAGAAGCTGTTATAAGAGCACGATTTGAAAACTTATGTATTAAAACCAAATTTATCCAAGACAATTTGCACTAAGGCTTGTCCATTTTTAGTCCTTTTATTGCCTTATGCAACATCATTCAACAGCATGCATTTCAATTATTCGCGTTGTTGTAACAAACCGGCCAAACTGGCTCTCGTCACAGTTGTAAAGATTGGGGATTAAGGCGTTTGCATTTTAGAAAACGGAGTACTTTCTGATTCATTCATGGGCAGATCAAGAATGTTGTGTAATTAATTTTTCGCCCAAGATCCTAGAACATGCGATGAAATCGAGCAGATGCCTGCGTATTGCAAAAAAAGGAAAGCAAGTTCTTCGGCTTTGATTACTGTGTTGGGGTATGTTTCTTATGTTAGTATTTTTTAAAAGGAAAGTGAGTTATACCTACCACCAAAGCTGTTCATTTGATTTAATACCAAAACTGGATGTGATATATAAAATCATAGTGACCGCTTTTACTAATCAGTGTATTCCAACCTAAGGAAGTATATCGAAAGATATATGAAATATGGTGCATTATGTTATCCGCGTTGATAAAAGATAAAATCATATATATGCAACAGACAAATGTCGAATATATAACAATCGTAAGCTCTATCAGATCAAATAAATGAATTTAAGAAATATAAACTCTTTATGTCTGTATAAACGTGTAACTGAGACTGTTACGTACACTAACTAACCTTGACACACAAGCCAGGTGAGAGAGAAAAAAGATAAACAGGAAATGCTCGTGATATTGCCAAATCTTCTCTGAAAGGTACGCCTGGTGCTTAATTGCGCCTCTACGTCAGTAGTGATAGTACAGCTGACGGCAAATCTTGTGTCAAAACATGGCAAAACTTGTTTTAATTACAGTCATATGGCTAAGATATGCAAAGTTTGAAACATTAAAACTGGATTACTTATTTATATATAAACATTGAAAAATAATATTCCGTACGAGTGTTTCCTAATACAGGATGTGGTAATTTTAAAATAACAGGTGTGACATGTAAATCGTTGCTGTTCGGCGTTGACATTGGTCTTTTGACTAAAGAGCATTCAACGTAGGTTTGACTGAATAATACCTGCCTACACTTTGATAAAATTCTCTATAGCAGCACTGAACTTTTAAATTTTGATCATGCATTTAATGAAATTTAGATCAATTAAATTTGTCCTTGTTTGAAAAGCACAATAAATGCCATATACTATGAAAAGGAAGTCAAACTTTCATGTTACAAATTATCCAATGAAATAATATTTGATTAAATTGGTAAATAATTCTTTAGGACAGATCTATCAAGACTTATTATACCATCGTGCTTACATTGCTTACAGTTCAGATCGAGGTATCAAATATGTGCCAAGTTAATACATATAGATAGTATTTAAAAATGCAATGTGACTGTTTTTAGGGCAGGCTATAGACCCTGCAAAAATTTTAAGCGCATAGGTGTTCACAATTTTCCATCCACCATTTCCAGTGTTTAGTATTTTCAGTCAATTGATGTACACTATTGAGCAAACAGATCAGTTTTGAGAGTAATCGGCAAGCAGTTCTCTTCATTCAGGTTTATCACTTCCGCAGTTCTAAGATCCTATGAGCATACTCGGTCAACCTTTAATAACCCCATGAATGTACAACTCGACACTCTGACGTAAAAAGTAAATTTCCCTTCATTGAAGGTTACGTAATATGATCATCAGTTTGGTTTCTGAGCTAAAATTCTTTTCGGTCCAGCACACAATCCGAGGGCAGCAATAGCAATGCGCCCAGTGAACAAGTTTGAGACACAATACAACGTATATTCCTTATTTTTCTTTCCTGTTTTTCGTGTTTGATATGCACGTGAACTGGCGAAAGCTACAGAAATAGGACGAAAAGTTACTATCATCTTATTGATAATTCTTTTTGCGATGTAACGGGTAAAAGGTGAATGCTTAGACGTAGAAACGTAGAGACTATCAGTAAAAACAGTACAAAAGCTAATGTGTAGATTTGTTGTTTGGCAGAGAATATGCGCAGTAAAAATCCCACAGAAAAGCAAATAGATACATTACGTAAGCAAAGGCATTTACGGTTGCTAAAATATGGAAAACAAATGCGCAAAATAGAGATCAAACTTAGTAAGTCTGCCTTTGCTCACTACTATAGCAATGTGAGCTATTCTGTGACTTCTTACTAAAATATATATATAAGTGCTTCATCACAGAATATTATCAAGATCTGATAATTAATAGAGGGACAAATGGACAACGACTAAAAATAACACGAAAGCTATCATGTCTGCGGTAAATTGACCCAAGTAATGTAATACACCAATCCAATGAACGGTGCAAATGCATTCGTTTTGTAATTCCTGTTGCATTTCTAAGAATATCAATCAAACAGATAACACACGCACGCTTTGATAACCAACAAAAAGTCGGACTATACTTTATTACGCTACCACCTAAATGTGTTTCATTGCCATATATAATTCTACCTTTCTAAATATATCTGTGGCTGCACTAGTAATGCATTTTTTCACAATCTGTATCCTTCTCTTACTAATGGTCATGGTTTAAAATCTGCTCTGACAACAATATATTAGCTATCTATTAGAACAGTTACGAGTAAGCAAAGTATGAGAGCAATGTAAATGAAAGTCAAATATCATTTAAATATCTGTCTGTTAGCGAAAATTTTAAATTCTTTTGACATTTTGTTCTGTTGTCGAAATAATTCGCTCTTACTTATTTAAAAAGTGAGTATTTCGCTTCTGTCCTGACAACGGCAGTCGTAATAATAGCTAACAGTAGAATAATAGCTAACAGTAGAAAGCTATTGAAAAACACTTTCTTTGTCCTTGTAACATTCACGTCAGCACTACACTTTTGCAAGAAATAAAAAATGAATTAATGTAATTATATGTATTAATAAATTAAACAGAACATGTGTAAATGGAAATGAAAATATATTAATTTTCCTTCAATGATATACTGGCTTTAGCAATGGGTTTTTTAATGAATTGTTTAAAAATTTTCAAATCACAGAAGTGTAACATATTCACCCTGTGAATCACATCTGAGCAGCATGAAACACCATTTGTTTATTTGCTGGTATGTCTCTGTCATCGACAGTGACAGTAGTAGTCAAATTCTGTGCAGCAATGTGTTTCTCAAAGGAAAAGCTGTAACGGACCGGAATTGATCAAATTCCAATCACAGTATCGGTATTGTTCTGTTCAGTAAGAGAGCATTTGTCGGTGGTTCTCTTTTTTGTTACTGTTAATGCCGCAAAATGGACTAAAATTAAATCTTTAAGTTTCAAAACCCCACGGCGGGCTCATGGTGTCGATGGTAAATAAAACCCGGTGTTAGGTATTTCATAACTTGCTCCATAAAACGTAAACAACATGAAGGTTAAGACCTTACTGGGTCCAGGGTGAACGATAAGTCAGGAGTTTTAAAAGACGAAAGATGTTTCAAAGATCAAAAACTAAGTAGGCCAATGTTTCGAGGTTTTTTTTTTTTCACGATTGTACATGAATCTTGATACCGTTTTTTTAAAGATGTTTTCCAAAGAACGCAATTGTGTTTTCAAACCTCTGCTAATTGTCTTAGAAAAAGACTACTTGTGTCCTTTTAAAGGGAAAACAAAAGAAAACTAGGCACAAACGTAAAAAGTTGTGAACATAAATAACCATACAACACGCGCGTGTCTAATGCAGTCTCATTTATCTTTTCTCCCCATTAGATCTAAGTGTCATGTGCACCAAGTCGGTCTACATGATAGCCTTACTTAAGGTAACAGAGAAGACCTGTCAATTATGACTGATTATGCAGTGGGGAATGATAAGTATCGACCAGGTGAACGCCTGGGTTCTACGCCGTTGGTACGTTCTTGTCTTACAATGCCACCGGATAGGAAACGCATGTATAACGCCCAAGGTGTAATTACGACTTCCTTCCTTTTTTTTCACTTCTTCTGACCCAAGGTCTGCTGTACTAGCTGTGGCACTTTCATGAAACAGATGCCACATGATTATTTCGTTTATCTCTGGTATTTTAGGTAACTTCCACAACAAAACCCTATCTTTAGGTTCATTGTTTTGAAATATGCCAAAAACATTATATGGACAAGAACTTTTTGACTATTTTGCTCATCGTTTAATAACTTGTCCGAAAATTGCCAATTCGCTTACATACTCAAAACAATATGTTATGGGTAAATGATGCACCCCTGTTATTGTATTTATCCACTAGGCCAATCTTAACAAGCTTTGTGTCTGACTGAAACACGGAACAAAAAACCGTCTGTAGACTAAGAGAAAACAGATAACCAGGCTGTTTTGAACAAAGAGACCTTGTGCATCAGAACGGAACGACCCACGGTTAAATGATGAAATATGTTCTAATAAGTCAGTCGGTAATATAAAAAATATTATTATCATAAAACCGTATTACGCTTTGGAATAGGCTACTTATGCCAAAATAATATAATTTTCTCATTGAAGTTATAAGATTTGGGGTGAATTTACACGTAATGGGCTAGTATAGACCATACCCGTCTTTCGTAGGTTGGCATTTCAATGGAATTGGAAACTGAATCGCTACCTGAGGTGAACTGTAAGAAACGCAAGGCATGTTCTGGGCAGGAAATACTTAAGTGCTAATGACCATTCCTTCAAATGATAAATGCATGTTGTTATGAAAATTCACCAGTAAGCAAATAATCAAGTATGGGATAATGTATTATGAGCTAGCCACTATTCATTCACAGAGGAGTAAACACGCTGACTCATGAGTCGGAATTCCAGTCTTGTTTTGAAAAACAATGAAATAGTAAATAGTTGCTGATTTCTGCTTACTTTTTGTTCAGTATCACCTTATCAGCTACACAGTGTTTTTTAATTAACCAGAAACGTGTTACGCCTTGATATTATGTATCAATAAAACACCTGTTATTTCCACAATATTTTGAGTCGGTATCATTCTCAAGCCAAATTTATCTACGTACCAGAAGACAAGATACTTCAAAGGAGCCGAAATTGCTTTTTTTTCTGTAGCCGACAGGCAAGAAAAAAAATGAATGAAAAAGCTGGTTGTTCGGTAAAAGCCTACCCTTCAACATATGTCGAATCTACCCGAGAAATAACGTTTAATTATTATAGCTGCCGCATATAATTTTTGCACGATATATTGGTTGAAAGCCATCCCACTTTATCGTTAGACACTAATTGGGTTTCCTTAAGGTGAGGTATCTTGGCATAAGGTTTCAGTCTGGTAGTTCTCACTGTGTCCACGTGAGGGAATATATTTTAACGACCCTCCAACAAAACCCGTTTTCATCTTTGTGTTTTAAGTAGATCTTAACCAAATGGGTGCTGCCGCTAATCAGATTATTTGTTCATCCTGCACATTCTTGTAACATATTGGCGAAGGATCAAATGAAAGAGAGAGAGAGAGAGAGAGAGAGAGAGAGATTGAGTGAGGCCAACAATAACAGACAGTGAAGTATTCGACAGTTCATCATCATTTCTCTGATAGATAATTTTATACGCATTGCTTTTTTTCCTTCTAGGATGTACGTAGGCTGGGGAGGCGTTATAATGGGTGTTGGTTTTCTGCTTTTAGCCGTCTGTGCTGTGCTATGTGTTCACGCCCTGTGCATCATGAGAAAGAACAGGCCTACGGTGAAGGTATGACACGCGCATTTGTGCGTGTGAAGAAATAAAATAAATCTGTAGTTCAACCTTTACAAACATATATTGATTTGTGTTTCACACACACACACACACACACACACACACACACAAATCCCCTACTTCTTGCCAAGTGATTGTTCTTTGAGCTGAATTGAAGAGTTTTTTTTACCCTTTTTAAATTAAGAGGCTGGATGATATATTCAAAAACTAAAAACAAATTCATACACTAATAATAGTGATAATTAAGAGGCAATCCGTGTCCTGAAAGGGTAAAGCTCAAGTTCTATTGGTGACCATATAATATGTGTTGGATATTTTCTGTATTTTGTATCAACACACATATGACATAGTGTTTTATTATTTGTCCCTAGAACATATCTCACCATTACGGCACCAACGAAGGTTACGATATGGGGTACGCCGACGCCTGCAGCAAAGAATGTCTAATGAAATATGAAGTCAAAACTATGGTGGTTGCCGAGCAGGATAAGAAGAACCCCAACAAAGTTAACACGGTTAAGATTGCTAATCACCCACGCATCGTTCCAGAACAAGAAAAGTCCATCGCAGGGATGCCGGGGAATTCCATTCTTAAGAAAAACAACACCAATTCGAAAATTGTCGGTGGGGGTAATGGCCACAACCTGGGTAAATTGACAGGTTATAATCGTCAGGAGAGTCAACCGGGATATAATAATCCAAGCTACGTAGAGCCAAAATCAGGTAGTCCTAGGCCTTACGATCGTCAGAATAGTAACCAACCGAAACGTGGCAATCCAGCCATATTCAACAACCCTACCAACCCACAAAGTATTCAGCATGACTCTGATAATGGCGAGGCAATATACGCCGAACCTATGTCGATTTACGTGACTCAGCCGAGCCAAAACGATGCAGAACGAATCACTTCAAAACCTCCATTTAAGACGCGACAGAAGGGTACTATTTATGGGAATGGGGAGGCTTATCCGACGCGCACACAGTCGGTCAAAACCCCAACGCCGCAACGCCGTGATAATGAGCGTAGGAGATCCGGCGGTGATTATGCCAACTTGCCTTTAACACCGAGTCCGGATGACTTGTTGACCCCGCCATCTTACGAAGATGTCACCGGTTCCAACGTGAGTGTATACGACAACGTTCCAACAACCCCCAAAGGAAATGGTGAACCACCAAGATGACCAATTGAAATTATGATTTCATGTGCATCTTCCTTTTGTCATGGAAGCTTTCACTTCCATCTAATCCTTAGTTACTAAGGGCTGCATACCGGCATGTGGCATATTTGTGAATGTGCTGGCTGGGGAAGTGAAGCTTAGCAAGATGTTTTTAGAATGCAGGGAGAAAGTTTCTGACATCTTCCCGTGGACTACATTTAAGATTTGCAATTGGTATTGTTAGATGAGACGTGCCCGCGTTTTACATTTGTGAAATATTTGGCGGAAAGCTATCCCTTCACAGGTAAAAGGGTTTTCGGTACTGAAGACAGTGGCAGTTCTCAAGCGAAAGATCTATTGCTCTAATTTTATGTGGAATATTTTTATTGGTTTGTTTTAAGAATATGTTATGAGGGAAACCGTTTACTCGCAATCAATTTTTTCTGGTAAGTCGTGAAATACATGTTTATGATTAGAAAAGGGTAATGAACTGACGTCGAGGTAACGCAATAATTATTAACGCATTAACCGTATGAAAACTAGACACTGATTGACGCTCTCAGTTAGCAGTCACATTTTTGTCCAATTCTGAAACAAATGTGAAGAATCTAAGAAGCAATCAACCAATGTTTAAAATTCGAGAGTAAATCAAGTGAAACTTAACCGACGTCTACGTGCACGTATTAAGTTCATTTAAAACCCAGTAGACCAACGGTTTTGTGCATGGTGAAGGACTTAAGGAGTTCAGTTAAAAACTGAAAAAAAAAAATCAAACTTAAAATATGTGAATTGTTTGTTATGTTTAGCTTCTCTTTGGTAAACACCTAATATACTTAATTAGTTTTTATGGCGTAAACAAGGGTGATTCTTAGTCAGAGAAGGATTGTTCTTTGTGAGTGTTGTGTTTATAAAGAATGGATGCCAGGGCCAAAGATGGATTTTTCACTAGATATTCACAGATATGTCTCTTAAATGATGGACTTTTCTACACTGTAACGCTGTGATAAATATCTAGGATGAGTATATGGCCCGTAATTGCTTGCATAGCTGCTCAGGCACTGCCACAAGTTCCTGCCAAGTCCCCCTGACAGCAACCAAGAGAGTTTATTGCTCTGACCTGAACCTCTTGCTCGTCTGTGACAAATAAAAAGAGCCCCTTATGAATAGCTTGTTACTTCAGAGTGTTCTTTTAAATCACGTAACTCGTTTCAGTAGACAGCTAAGCTAAGGCGGGTTACGTAACGAGAGTTTATCACATCGGCGCGAAGCCCAGCTCCTACAGAGCGGATACAATGTCATCCGCACCCCTGCAAGTTTAAATGCTTTCATATGGCCAAAAGTTACAGGGTCGCGTCAGAGAAAAGTTCACATAATAAGATCTGCGGTCCTGGTAGAAGTTATAAACTAGTTGAGGCTGTTCGAAAACTTACATCATAGTTTGTGCTCACAAAATAACCAGTGAGTTGGTCTGTACGTTACTATTTGAAGAACTGTTGGCTATTTTATTGAATTATTTTTTACATTCATAGAGGTGATGCATTCGATTTTGAGGTAGAACTTTGTATTGTTGCAGAAGAGAGAGAATAACACGTATTCTATCAAAGGTACTCTATTAATCAAGGACCACTGCAAAACGATTTGCCAAAACACAATTATCATTAGAAGTAAAGCACACTGGTGTTTACTTAACTGAATTGTCGTCGGACGGTATTGAGCTTCCCTTGTCCAAACAAAACTGAAAATGTTAGTTCTCTATACAGGAGCCATAATGCGTTTTTTTTTTCTTTTTTTAAGGAGGAAACAAAAAATCGAACTCAAAATATGAGAAAAAGATTACTCATTCGCGAGCCAAAATAGTCAAATTTATTGTACAAAGACACCAAAATCGTTTTGCAGTAGACAAATTTTACAACAGTTGCTTTTGTTTTATGGCTTGCCTTCGAAACTCACGTTTGTTTCTGTATACATTTTTATTTGCCGAACATAAGCTACCGAATCTTTAGTCCGGCATCGAATAGGTTACAAGGGACTGTTTGAGATGGGTTAAACCACGTCATTAATGTCAAGGTTAGAAACTATAAACTCTTTCGTATTTAGCAATGGACTGAATACCATCTATCATTTTAAAGTGACGATTATGTTTTTTTTTAAGTAAGCGGGGAGTAACATTAATGGCTCACCTTTCCTTGTAGAGCACTTGTAGATTATTGCACTGTGTGGACTTGATATTAGGATTATTGGATTTTCTTCAATTTGAAACTTATTGTGACCTTATGTGTATAACATATTGTCCTGATAACATATACTGCTACCTATGCATTATGTTTACTTGCAATAAACACTTGAAGCACGTGTCATAATAGCCGTTTGATCTCGAGAGTGCCGCCACACCTAACACATTTATCTGAACGGTCACACCGTTCGAGCTTCAGCATTGTATACCTAATCCAAGATTCAATTGAAGGAAGCCCGTTTCCAAAAAACTCATATTTAATGGGATAACAACTGTTCATTTTGGCAAAAAAAAACAAAAAAAAAAAAAAGAATTTCCTGGGGTACAAAGCAATTTTCCCATACTTACCAATGGATAATGAATCCATTTCTACATTCAAAGTTAGTCCCCGTTTTTTACTAAAAAGTTTGTTTTTTGAAATAATCTCTTAAGAGATTATTACAGGGTATAGTCATCTATGATTGTCACGTGGTTGGATGCCATGCACAGATTTCAGACTAATTACTGTACCTGCTGGATTTGTGGTGAAATAGAATATATTATATTTCTATGTGTTGTTCACAATGTATTTATTGTGAAATATAGATCTCATACGAAGAGTTGTTATCCCTTGAATTTTATGCCAATGCATACTGTGCTGTCCAGTTATATCACAGAAATTAAGTTTTGGCTTTTACATTCTGTTTAGAACCCGTGAAATGCTGTACTTGGTATTGATACTTTACAAAACCACGTGCTTGGATTTCTGAAAAAATGCATCGTCTATTTTTTTTCCAGTTTTCAAGTATAATTTGAAAGTAACCAGGAAGACCAATCTCCACAGCAAATCAATAACAACACCAACTTACTAGAATAAGATTTCTTTTATACATTTTCAAGAAATCACTTTAAAGCTTTTTTTAATATAAAACAAATTTTTCTTGTACATTTGCAACAATCTTTTAGTCTCTTTAAAATATTTGTTTTTAAAGTAGTTCATGATATACATTTCCATACAGGCCATATTGCCACTCTCCCCCCCAGCTAAGCTGGTTACTCAGGTAGATCCTCCTTTATTTGGAATGGTAGGTTTCTTGCCTCCCTCTTTGTTGGCAGCTTTTTTCCTGAAAGAAAGATAAATTAAGTGAATATAAATGCTAAGCACTAGCAACATAAGTATGAGCACTTATGCTACATTATATCTACATTTTTGCACCACCTACTCATTAATCTTTAGACAGGAACAAGGAACTGGAACAGCCAAACTAAAAGGCTACTGGTAACTGTGCCAGAAACTTGCCTTCTGTTTCCATAGAAGACTACAGAAAAATATGTGCTGGAGTCTTAACTGCACCCTTATAAATGTCAAGTGCACTTCTTGTAAGGTTTAAGTTGTATATTTAATGTAAAAAAGTTTCTCTGGAGCTTCTTACTTAATCACGGTCAAGACAACACTCTGCTGACTTTGCAATAAAGCTCATTAACTGCTTAAAGGTTGCTAGTATTGAGAAATAATTGGATTAATGATGGATATGAAATTGAGTACCAGCACACAAAGTAGTTCTCTTTTTTCATTACATACATAACTTCACATACCTGCAATTGATGCCTGCTATACATATATCCCAACCCACAGTAGGAGAAATAAAATACCAAATCCCATAAAAATGGATGCAACTAATGAAACTAGGATTTCCTTATATAAATCTCTGGTGTATTTTGTTGAAGTAGCTTCATATCTGTGGCACAGTTAAGGGCAAATCTATACAAAAAGTTTTTAAGCATACAAAAAAGTTCACATACTCAGTGGGTTTCCAGTTTCATGTTTAATGTTACAAATGTCTGATTATAGCACAATATTTATCTGAAACTTAGTAAACTAAAACGAATAAAAAATAATTATAATCATAAACTTATACCTGAAATGAGCAATATAAAATTTGGTGAAAAGCACCAGCTTTGCAGAATAGGTATTGTCTCTGAAAAGGATACACAAAAAACCATGCCATGAAGAAAAGTCCTATTCCTAGCAGCACCACAGTAAGGTGTGGGAAGGTGGCAGGATTGATGGGAGACACATAGCGGGTCATCTGTTCAACGTCCAACTGAAATTAAAAAAATTACTAATTAATTTTGTGTCAGAAAAAAAACAAAAACATGAAAACTACTGTCAAAAATATGTCGAGCAGGAAGACGAGTCTTGACATTTTGTGTTTTTACATACAATACACTCAAAAAAATATGTGCATGGATTAACTATGTATCTTGATTTTCTTGGTCTTAAATGTGCCCATTTGAGATGGTCCAAGTGCTAAATACAATATGCCTCAATTTTAGTATGCATTTAGTGAGTCTTCCAAATCCCCCCCCCCCCTCCCCAACAGCAATGATACATACATGCTCCAATGATACAGTGATACATACATGAGGCAGTTCTGGCAAATCATTTATTTTGAGACTGCAAATATGTGACATTTAGAATCATTATTGCTTACTAGTAAAGTTAAACTATACACTGGAAGTTGTATATTGGCTTTTTCCTATGTTTGATACATGAAGTGGTACTAGTACCTGAAAATTCGACTCTGAGCAATCTTTGTCAGGCACATCAAGAGCATGACAATTCGAAAAAATGAAGAATAGCACTAATATGAGTTGCAGCGGCGACAAAAAATTATGCTGCAAATCATCAACTTAGTAAAACACTTATCGATCGAGTAGCTGCCGGCTTTTTATGTATACGTGGCAGATACGTATACGTGGTTTATACTCTGTGGGAACCTATTTTTTTACCTGATTCTAAGCCATAAAAAAGATAAATTTTGTAACAGTTGTGTTTATAAAAGTGTATTTTATATGATTTGTTTCGGTTGCTTTTCGATGCATTAGCTATATTATGATTTAAAGGGATTTCTATAATTGTATCGAGACTTACCATCTTGACAATTGAACAGGAAGTTATTGAAGGAAGTCGACAGTGCGCAGGTTCAACCTATTTAGTTGCAGGTCAAACGAATGAGGATTTGTTCATTATTATTGGCGGGGGGAGGAGCTCTTCTTTAGTTAATATTATACTTTTTTATCGTCTATTTGAATATTTTTTCTTTTAAAAGATAAAAGAAATCCGTAAATTTGTGTATAATTAAACAGTTTAATAACATTTTCCTTAAATAAAAAGAAATAAAATATCGATATAAATTCAGTTCCCTTTGAATTTGGAAGAGTTTACTGAAGCAGGTATCTAGGACACGCGGTCTAAATAAATGTCCGATCGAAGTTGCCTATTGTGAGCCGAATTTGTATTGTGATTAATCTAAATACGAAAGTTAAACACGCGTGAAAGGAAGATAAGCGGCTCAGGAAGGGGAATGTTGCTTTATAAAACAAGAAAATGATACAAATTACGAGTCACGCTGGAAGAAAATCTTACTCAAGTACGTAAGCGGAGAGTGGCGGCAGGTGCCCGGCACGGCGTTAATTGGTATTAGGAGATCCGAGGAAATGAAAAGAAAAAAGTAACTTGAAATTTAACAAACAACTCGGTGCAATAATCGTACACTATGCTGAGTACCTTAGCAAAGGGCTCTGGTACCTGGGCCGGTGAATTGGAAGTAACAGAAAATGGCAAAAAGGTATGTCACCAAGACGTTTTCTATAACAGCGATGCATCAGATACATTACACATTACAGTATACATTATATATTGTTCACTTGCAGATGGATGTCATTTTGTCACTCCCTTTTTTTTTTTTTTTGTCATTGTTATATTATTAAAATGTTCATAGGTTAATCTCAAATATCTTTGTGTAAAAAATATTTTCTTTTGAATTTTGATTGAATTTTTCATTTAGCAAATTCAAAATTTGGGGTTGTTTTTTTAAATTCACTTTTTGATTAAAGACTTTTAAAGATGCCAAAGATATACACATTTTATAGTTAGACAGTAACAAAACTTGAAAATCTACAGTATATGTGATGGGAAATGCATCTACATTCCACAGTTTTATTTAATTCACATTTTTAGATAATACCTGTTACAACAACACCTAAAAGCTTTGTTTCGGAAAATAAATAAATTTTTTGTACTTATCGTTTTTTTCCTTTTCAAACTAGATGTTCACAAGGTCATTAAATAAATCTATCATGACTTTTTTTCCATTTTAGCATAAGTTTCCAGTAGTTGCAGACCCAGACCACCCTCACAAGCATGGTGTCACAGTATCCCCAAGGAAGCATGGGTCGGGTGTCACTGCTACTGGTCCTCCCAGTCCCCCCAGTCAGGAGTCACATTCTGATGGACAGATAGCTTTACCAAAGACATACCTCACAAGAAAAGGTAGTTAGGTTAAGAAAAATTATTTTTTAACATTTGTATATGTGTATTTTCAGACTTGACTTAAAATTGTCAGCTCAGTATATATGAGTGCTTGGTTGAGACTTACAACCTGGTAAATAAGCAAAACAAGTCCAAAAGAACAAACAGGTAAAAAAATGACATAAGTTTATTTTAGAAATATTTATTTGATAAACAAATAATTTCCTATGAAATTGATATTTTAGTTGTTAGTTTTAAAGAAGGAAAAGACTGTTAAGTGGATAATAAATGATGAGATAGTTTCCTTTCCTATAGGTAATCTGAATAAGAGCGCTACTCTTTTGATAAATATTGAATCTTCTGGCTCATTTGTAATAAGATCAAACACACTGATGATATTTCATTCAGTGGATGGACATCTTAGAGCGCATTCTCAACGAAGTAAGCCAGGCTTTACAAAGCCGGTGACCTAAAAATGGCGGACGTACATGAAAGAAAAACCGCCTAATCTTTTGATAGTCTCTCCGCCTCCCCACACGTCGTCCCTGAGGGGTACAGTAATTTAATCGCGTCTCCGTTCGCCATGCGGAAGCTACCTGAGAAATATTAAGTGGGCATGCTCATCAGTTAAACTCGTGGTGAAGAAAGCATGGCGGCTGAAGGCGATCGAAGGAAAAAAGCTCTTCTGTTCTATTATCTTTGAAAACAGAGACGAAAAAGGAATAATTTGGCCCGTAGAGCAGCAATGAATCGACTATCTACGGAGATAATATCACCAGAGATATTCACGGAAATATTAATGTTCGGAGCCGAGATTTAATTACTGTACCCCGCAGGGACGACGTGTGGGGAGGCGTGTGAGAGGCGGAGAGACTATTAAAAGATTAGGCGGTTTTTCTTTCATGTACGTCCGCCATTTTTAGGTCACTGGCTTTGTAAAGCCTGGCTTACTTCGTTGAGAATGCGCTCTTATTCTACTTTTATTTCTGTGCAAGTAAGGCTGTATTCCCAGAGCTTTTAGATCGATCTATCCCCGTGGGGAGTCTCACTAGATTACTGTCAGATTATCCGGCTTTAATGTCCATCCTGCCTACTACAAGCTGTAAGGGGGTAATTAACATTCGTGTCCGCTCAGCTGACAGCTATTTAGCGTGAACCCCCAGGGAGTTAGGTCGATCTGAAGTAGATTGATCTAATCTCTTGAAATGGGGTCTTAGAGTTGTCAGGTAAAAAATTCTCACGAAAAAAATTCTCATGAAAAGTGCGGGTACATGGTACATACAACATAGTACATACAAGTCCTTTTTTATTGAACCAAATAGATAACTTGAAAAGCACTTTGTGAGAGCTAATGTCTCCAATTTCTCAAGGTAAATATTTAAACTACCTGACTGTAAGACTGATAAATGAGATGGCATTACTGAGCCTCTTTTGTAGAGATCTGATGACATTTGCTTAAAGAAGTAGTTAAGATGTCTCTAAGGAGACAGTACAGAAATAGCAATTTCATTGCCACTATACAAAGTAATAGTGGATTGCATTATGAGACACCTATTCATTCTGTAAAACTAAATTAGTTTAAAGCAAAATACCCTTGCTGTCTTTTTTCCCTCAGTTATGTTAAAAAAAATTTTTTTTTAATTTTTAGAATTTAGAATTTTAAAAAAATTCACCCCCTGGAAGTTAATCTGTTTGCAGTATTTAATAATAAGAATAATGTGTTTTTGAAACTAGAATCTCAGCAGAGATTTCTCTCTCTCTCTTTGTTTTTTGAATAATCAGTATCTGATGGCAAAGTTTGGTCTGTGGATTACAGTATATTTGCTCTGCCATGATTGCCAAACTGATAAAATGTCCACCTAATCTCAGACGTAAATACCAACAGCAAACATCAAATGATCCAGTGATTACCAATGACTAAAACTCTAGAATGAAAAACAGTTAAATATGAGTTTATATTTAGTGAAAGTAAATATATCAACATAATTATCACTTCATCACCATTTCCACACAGTTAGTTACCCCTCAAATGAACAGAAATAGAATTAGAAACTCATTGTACTTTGCCTTGAATTATAACTATGAACAAAAGAATGTAAGTAAAAATTGTATGCAATTGTTATATAATGAAGTGACAGCTTAAATATAATTTGTCTCTTTGTTTAACTCAAAACATGGATTTATGCTTGATAATTGTTTTGTTTATCAGGTGCTTTATTCCTCTTCACTGTCCCTAATGGAGTTACTCTTGGCAACCCAAGGCTGGGACAAGATGGCAGAAATACTGTCAAGGGTTGGGAGCCTGGTGCAAAAATTCGAACCTTGGAGAGATTTGCTAAATCGGTGCTGCAGTATGGAGATGATGTGAGTTACTTATGTGATAGTGTTTTTAAATCAATTTTCTTTATTATCCTATTTAATAAGTATAATATAATTATGTACTATATTTACTTTTCTTTGTTAGATGCATTTCTACTGTTTTGATTCTTTGGATATTTATTTCTTATTTACCTCTTAAGATTGGTAGTTTTGTAAGTAAATGATGTTGGCTTCACATAGAACCCAGTATACTGGACCCTTGGTTTTCACATTATTTAATTTGTCAGGTTTTGAAATCACAAAAGGTAGTTGAGATGATTGAGATGAGAATTGAATTGGCAGAATTTGGACTTAATTAAATGATTTGGAGTGGCTGTGACATATAAACCAAATAAGCTTTGAGTGTTTATCAATTGGCTGTACATTATTCAGGGACATGTTCCAGACATGATTACCTTACATTCTTAGTTCCTACCACCAAATAGGTTAGTAATAAATTCACTTTAATCAAGAGATTAGAATGCCAGACACTGCCTTCTTTAACATTCATATTGACAAAATTTTAGCGTTAGTTCCACATATTAAGTCAGCCTTTCTTCATGAATTCAAACAGGCTCTTTAAAAATGTATCTACGTGAGATATTGAAAAGCTTAGGGAAAGAGTTGAAATCATTGAATCAGAAGGGTGCATTTGAGTGTCTGCACTGGAGACATGAGACTTCACCTTTTGTCTCATTTTGATGGATGATTTAATACTAAGGTATCTGCGTTTGTATTACCAACCTTAACAGTTTTTCTCACCATGGCAACACAACAACAATCTTTGCTCTCTGGGCTAATATTTTCACTACCATTCTCTATGTATCTTTCATGACTCAGATGTGTATTGTTCTGCTACCTGTATGTTCATGTACTAAATCTAACAGCATTCCACACATGGTGGTTTAAATCTCACAAAGAAAAGGTTTATCACACAAGAAAAACATAATAATAACCCCACAGGTGTAATAAACTGTAATATGTTGGTTGTATTTGCTTTAAGAATGATTAATATTTATGCTGTATTCAATTTAACAAAATATTTTTCTTGAAGTATTTTGATTTGACCTATGATGAATTACCTGGTTTATTTAGACCAAAGAACAATACAGAAATATGTGAGTCTTTTTAAAACTGACAATAGGGTCTGTTTAATAATCATGAATATGTGCGTGTGTGTGTGCATGTGTTTGTGTGCATGTGTGCGTGGGTATGTGTGTGTGTGAGTTAGAGAGAGAGAGAGAGAGAGAGAGAGAGAGAGGTTACTGGAAAATAATTTGAATCAACCCAACAAAAGTATGGTTACATTATCTCTGTAAGAATTTTAAGCAACA